AGTTGCTGCTGCTGGGGCAGAGTGCTATTTCTGGAGCTCCACTGCCACTATACTCTTGAAGCAGGGCCCAGAGCTCCATGGGTGCTGTTCAGGCTTCCCAGCCATGGAGCTCCAGCCCTGTTCTGGCTCAGGGGCAGGGGAGCTCCAGCGGCAGCTAGGGAGCTCCAGCCTTTCCTGTGGATCTCCAACCCTGACTGCGGAGCCAGGCAGCTGCAGATCTCCAGCCCTAGCAGCAGCCAGATTGTTTTGCAGCCACCTGGCACCGAGGCTGGAGCTCCACAACCAGGGTGGGGGCCAGAATTCCCTGGCTGTCGCTGGAGCTGGAGCTCTGCACTGGGCCAGAACAGGCCAGAACTCCCTGACCATGGCTAGGCTGGAGCTTCCTGCTACGCCTCCTCACCCACCCCGTCACGGGACTTACGGCTGAATCGCTGGCCTCCCCCTGCTGTGCTCCTGCCCTGCTGCCAGACTTCACTGTTCCTGGGCTCTGTGGTCCAGGAACATCCATGGTCCTGTTGCTGGACCAGAGAGTCCTGGCTTAGGGAGGTACAACCTGTATTTCCAGCATAATAGACAATAATAATGAGAGCTCTTCAATATATTTTGGGGGAAAAGAATCCTAATAATGTTATTAGCCTTTTACAAGATGGAAATAGTAGAATTATAGATGATAATGCAGAAGAGGCAAAAGTACCCAGTAAGTATTTCTGTTTTGTATTTTGGGGGAAAAAACAGATTATGTAGTCAGATCATATAATAACACTCTTTTGTTTTTGTTCCATTAGTTTCTTATGAGGATGTTAAAATGTAGCTATTGAAGTTATACATTTTAAAATCAGCAGGCTTGGATAACCTGCACCCAAGAGTTTTAATGATCTGGGTGAGTAGCCCAATAGACTATTAATGCTGAATTTTTTTAATAATCAAGAATTAAAGGGCAGAAATATAATTAATGCCAATTAACATGGGTTTATGAAGAACTAGATCCTAACTACTTAGATTTTTTAAAATTGAGATTAAATGTTTGGTTGATAAAGGTGATAGTGTCAATATAATATACTTAGACTGCTAAAAGGTATGTAACTTAGTACCACATGACATTTTGATTTAAAAATGTATCAAATTAACATGTTAGGCATTAAATGAATTAAAAGCTGGCTAACTAGCTAATTGTAAAATATAATTGTAAATTAAGAATCCTCATTGAACAGGTGTGTTTCTAGTGGATCTGGCAGGGATTAGTTCTTGTCACTAATAGAATTTGCAGATTATACAAAAATTGGAGGAGGGGTAAATAGTGAAGAGGTCAGGTCACTACACAATCACCTGACTTGCTGGGTAGGATGGGCACAAGCAAACAATATGCATTTTAATATGGCTAAGTGTAAATATATACATTCATGAATAAATAATGTAGGCTCTATTGACAGATGAGGGACTCTATAGTGAGAAGCAGTGACTCTGAAAAAGATTTGGGGGTTGTGATGGATAATCATCTTAACATGAGCTCTCCGTGTGTCAACTCTGTGACCAAAAGGGCTAACTCAGTGGTGGGAAGCATAAAGAGAGGAATCTCAGGTATGAGCAGAGAGATTATTTTACCTCTGTATTTGCCACTAGTGTGACCACTGCTGGAATACAGTGTTCCATTCTGGTGTCCACCATTTGAGAATGTTGATACATTAAAGAGTATTAAGAGAAGAGCTACGAGAATGATTATTAAAGGGTTAGAAAGATGCCTTTTAGGGATATAGACTGAGCTCCTTGAATCTTTAACTTAACAAAAAAGAGGCTGGGGGGAGAGGGAGTTTGATTACAATCTATAAGTACCTACATGATGGGCAGATATTTAATAATGGTCTTTTCAGTTTAGCAGTGAAGAGTATAATACTATCTGATGGTTGGAAATTGAAGCTAAACAAATTCAGACTGGAAATAAGGTGTACGTTTTTAATTGCATGAGTAAATAACCATTCAAACACTTTACCAGGCTTTGTGATTGATTCTCCACCTCTGATCATTTTAAATAATGATTGGATGGTCTTCTCAAAGATAAACTATAGGAGTTATTTTGCAGAAATCCTGCATTATAGGGGAGGTCAGACTCGATCAGTGGTTTCCAACCTTTTAACCACAAGACCACTTTTTCAATGTAAGTGCAATGCAAGATCTACCTCAAACCCAAATACCCTTGCCCCACTTCCTTCCCGCCCCTTCTTTGAGGCCCTGCCCCTGCTTCACCCCTCACCCTGTTCACTCCATCCCTCTTCCTCCCCCATCCTCACTCATTTTCATCAGGATGGAGTAAGAGGTTGTGGTACAGGCTCTGGTCTTGGGCCAACGAGTTTGGAGTGAGGGAGGGGCTCTGAAATTAGCCCAGGGTGGGGAATTGGAGTCCAGGAGGGGGTTCAGGGTGCAAGTTCTTGGAAGGAGTTTGGGTGCAGAGGGACTCATGTCTGGAGCAGGTGATTGGGTGCTGGAGGAAGTTCAGAGTTGGGACAGTGGTTCAGGAAGCAGGCCCTGGCTGGGCACCATTTTACTGAGCCAGCTTCCGGATGATGGAGCAGTGGGGTTCAGGCAGGCTTACTCCTGCCCTGGCCCTGTACCCCTCCTGAAAGCCGCTGGCATGTACAGCAGTGGCTCCATGGCACCACGTGCTGCCTGTCATCTGCAGGCACTGAGCCCACAGCTTTCTACTGGCCACAGTTCCGTGTTATTGATCAATGGGAGCAGCAGGAGTTGTGTCTGCAGGCAAAGACAGCATGTGGAGACTCCCTGCTCTGCCTTTCTCAGGGGCTGCAGGGACCTGCCAGCCACTTCCAGGAGTAGCAGTTACCACAGGGATAATTACACCAGACACGACAGGTTAGGCATTTTAGAACTTACTGCTCAAAGTATTAAATGCAAGTACAAGAGAGAAATGAAAATTATGAAATGCAGACCAGTGAAAGACGCAAAATAACACACCTCCAGCCACGCCAGGTTAGGATTTTAGTCATCATATTAAATGCAAGTACAAGAGAGAAATGAAAATTATGAAATGCAGACCAGTGAAAGACGCAAAATAACACACTTTGCAAGCAGTAACAGATGTAACAATAACCCCCCCGCTCTCCGTGTGTGTGTTGGGTCAGGAGATGTGAGTGAAAGAAGGTGTGTTTTTGTGAGAAGGACAGACACACACAGTGTATGAGAGTGACAGAGATTTGCATTGCCAAGCTCCCTCCATCCACTTCTCTCTGTGTGAAGATCGGATACAGAAGTGGGGAAAGGGACACCCTGAGGGGACACCCTGACATAAGTGCCACTTCTCTTCTCCCTCCTACATCCTACACAGCAAGCAGGAGGCTCCAGGGGGGCAATTCCAAGGCAGAGGGCACGAGCAGAAGGACAGTGGGTGGAGGGGCAACTGAAGTGTTAGCGCTTGATAGCTCCCTCACCAAACCAGTCAAGATCACCTGTCAGAGGCTCAAAGATCTACTGGTAGATCCTGATCTACTGGTTGGTGACCACTGGACTAGATGATCATAATGGTCCCTTCTGGCCTTGGAAACGATGAATTCATGAGAGAAAAACCATCATCCCACTAAGGATGCAGAGGCAGCAGCATGGGCTAGCAGGGAGCAGCCCCTGTCTGCGGGGAGCTGGGATCACCTATGGACAGGGGCTGTTGTGGCAGAGCATCCTCTGTCTGTGGA